GCGACCATCCATGAGCACCTCACAAAAAGGGATGTATAGCGGCGTGCGTCAAGAAGTTGTCCTCGAGGTCTAGGTGCTCCAAAGCGTTCGGCTTCTGGGAACCAAAAATGACCAAAATGGACTGCAGCGCTCGCGCGCCAACGCGACAGCCCCTCAAAACCAGGCGCCGCAGCTGCTTTGCACCTCTGGCCAGCGCACCGCCAAGCTGCTCCGACGTCGTATCCAGCGGAATGTAGGAGAGGTCAAGCGTCTGCAGCGCGGGGAAAAGCGCGATCACCTTCGCAATTGTCGGCACAGAAGACGCCGTCAGGAGCTGTCGCTCCACCGAGGCTTGTGCCAGCAGCACCGCCGTGACGGCAATGTTTTCCTTCCACCCCTCGTGCTTCTCAGGGGGTTCGTACTCGCGGAGCGTAAACGTTAAAATTTCGGCGAGAACAGCAAAGTGCCGGTCGTCAACGGGAGGGTCGGCCATCGCAAGATCCAGTGCGTCCAGCGCCGTGCCATCGTCCACGGCTCGATCCATCGCGCGCAGAAGCGCCGCCGCCGGGACGTGCTGCTGCCCCAGCTCATCCACTTCCGCACAGTACGACATGTATGCCGCCTTCATGCACTCCACGCGCGATTCGTACGGTGCGGGGTGCGGACGACTGACCACTGGAAATTCGAACACTGTCGGGCTGACGAGCCCAGCACTTACCGTCTCCAAATCCCCAACGTCAATGCGCATCCCATCCCGGACCCGCTGGGGGAGCAGCATGTAGTACTCGCTCAGCAGGTCCACGAGCTCCTTCGCCTGCAACTGGCTCGTGGCGTACAGCGTCATCGTGTGAGTGCCGCGGCGCCTTATCACAACACCCGCGGGGCAACGCTCCCACCCGACAAGGTCAGGGAACGGAATCGCGTCGAGGCATTCCTGCTTCGACGCACTAAAAACATAGAACCCGTCCTCCGCCACACCTGCAATGAATGGGCAGTTGTCGCGGTCCCTCACATCAAAGAAAGTCATGCCCCACCACGGCGTCGTGCTCACAACGTCGATGTAGCCACAACGCGCCTGCGTCGCAGTCAGCCCGGCGCGCCGTCGGTGGTTTGTCGCCAGCCGCTGCTGCCAGTAGTCGTACTCATGGGCCGAGACGGAGATGGGAAGGTATGCCTCAAGGCCCACCCGGTCAAAGTACAGAAGCGACTTTTGTGCTGTGAAGTCGCCAAACACCGCCTGAAGTTCGTACGACGCAAGCTGCACCGCAACCGCCTCCGAAACGGGGTAATACTCACGCACAATGTGCTGCTGCAACTGGCGAAAAAACAACTCCTGCGCCACAGCGTCGTCCCAGTGCAGCGGCCGTTTATAGTGCTTGAACTCAAAGAGAAGAGCCGTCTGCGGCGTGACGCCCTCATCCTCCAGTGTGGCGCTGCGGCTCAGGTAGCGGTGCACCGAACCGAGCACAGTTCCCTCGTCCGCAAGTTCTGCAAGGTAGAACATGCGCCATTGCACAATGCCGGCGCGAAGGGCAACCCGAAAAATCATCACCGCCACCGTGTCACTCGGGAAGGCGTCTACGCGCCTCTTCGTGCCGTCCACAAACTGAACCGTGTACGTCAGCGCCGCCTCACCGGCACCCTTCTTTTCGGCGTCCTGTTGGCTCAGCCGGCGTCGCTCCTCCTCTGCGCGATGCGTGACCTCCGCGTCGGCTGCACGTCTCAGCCTGTCGTCCTCCTCCAGCTGACGCTCCGCCTCACGCTCGCCCCGCTCCCGCAGCAGCTGAAGATTCACCGCATTGAGAGCCTCACGAAGGCGAGACACTTCCTGCAGCTCTTCGGTCCGCGTCTCTACAACGCCATGCACCGCAACAAATTTGTCGGACGTTTCGGCCACGCTCCCACGCGGCGACGGCAGGCCTGTGTCCACATTGACACCTGGTCGTGGCGCTGCACCCTCCTTGTCCTGCTGCAGTGACGGCAGCCCGGCCGATAGCTGCTCGCGACAGAAGGAGCAGAGCTGCGCCTCAGCGAGCCGCACTTCCTCCAGTGTTGACTGAACCTCCATATGCAACTTGCTGACAAGGTTTGCCTGTTCGATAAGGCTCTTGTTGTTGATGGTGTTCTTCTCAGCGGCGTGATGAGTCGATTGCCGCAGTACCTCCTCTGCGCGCCCAATCGCACTCCGAAGCCCCAAATTCTGCTCCTTCACCAGCTCCACAACGCCCATATACTTCTGCACCTCCAGCTGCCCGTCGGCAATCGCATTTCTTGTCGTGTCCTTAAAGGTCCTCGACTCCGTGCGGACGCGAAGCAGCAACTCGGACGTCTTCTTCAGCGCGTCACCCAACGCCTTATTGTGCGCCGCCAGTGTGTCTACCTCGTGCTCACTCAGACGGCGCACACGCTCTAGCTCATCCTGCCGTTCCTGCGCCAAGCGCTGGAGCGCCACAACGCGCGTCGACACCTCAGTCTTGTAGTCCCACAGGCCAGCCAAAACCTCCGCCAGCTCCGCTTCCTGCTGCGTCACATCTTTTCTCAGCGCAGCGGCAGCTCGTTCCTGCTCCGCTCGGGTCCCACTGAGATGCTCGTGGAGGGTCGTCAGCGAGCAGATCCGCTGGTTGTGCTGCTCCGCGGCAGAAGACAGTGCATCAAACTCGGCTCGAGCGGCTGCTAAACGCTCGCTGCAGTCACGTTCCTGCTCAATCAGGGCGGCCAGTTGCACCTCCTGTACCTCCTGGAGCGCCAAACGTGCTTTCTGCTCCCTTTCATGTCGCCTGCAGGCAGCCGAGATGTCGTCGCACTCCACCCGCTGCACCATGACGCCTCGACGCGCCACGTTGATTTCCCCAAGCAACACACGCTTTTCCTCACGGAGGGTATCGGCAATACGCATGAGCGCCGTTCGCTGCTGCAGCTTTTCGCTGTGGACGTCGTCAAGCGCAAAATGCTCCGCCCGCAGCTTCTCAAAGTGCCGAGCGGCGCGGCCAAGCTGCACGACGGGGTGATCCTCCAGCGCCCTGATGGACGACCGCAGCGCTAGGATGCTCCTGCGGATGTCGTTGACGCGTCTCTGAGCAGCATCGAGAGCACGATACGGGTCGGTGCGGCAGCGCAAATATTCCGCCTGCGAGAGCCACTGCGGGCATGTCGCCTCTGTCATTCTGCAGTTCTAGTCACTCCTTCAGCGTGTGTAAAAAGCGTTGCCCAAAAACGTGGAAAGCACACCACCGTACCACAGAACACAAAAAAACACACTCCTCACACACAAAAAAAAAAACCGCAACAATCCACAACAAATAAAAAAACACCACCAGAAAGCCAAACATTATACATTCGCGGCGGAGCAAACCCGCTCCCTTTCAGACGGCACCCAATCGCTCCATCAAAAGCGCATGTGCCGTCTCGCCTGCAGCCTCGCTGTGTCGCCGCAACAGCTGCAGCATACGACCCACGGCCGCCTCGTGTCGTTGCCGCCTCTCCTGCAGCTCCACATCTGCCGCCACCTCCGACGTAACAGCACCACGGGCCTTGTTGATTGCCTGGTTGTAGCGGATAATTGTCTCTCTGCCTTCAAGGATGGTCCCGTGCGCGTGCTCGCACGCCTGCCGCAGTTCCTCCACGGCATTTAGCGTCCGTTCCTTCCGCTCCGCCACCTGCTGCAGCTCTGACGCCCTGCCGTGCAACACCTCCTGGTACTCGCTCGCCTCCAGCGCGCGCCGGCTGATGAAGGTCTTGAGCTCCCGCCGCTTCGCCTCCAGAGCCCGTCTCGTCTTCTCCTCCGCATCGTTGTCCTGCACCCGGTCAAACATATGGCGGTAGTTCGAGTTGCTTGCCCGTATGACCTGCAGCGTCCGCTCCAGCTTCAGAAGGTCACGCTCCAGTCGCGCCACACGTGCGTCCAGCGCGTCGCCCTTGTGTTGCAGCGCCTCACGTTCCTTTGCCGCCTCCACCACAAGCTGCACCTGCGTCAGGTGCGCCTGATCCGGATCCATGCGGCCCACACGCACATCGTAGCGGTTACGCAGCGCCCCGAGGCTTCTCTGGCGTTCCTGCAGCTCGGCGACAAGTCGCCGACGCTCCTCCTCCGCAAGCTTTGCCTCCATCTTGAGGATTTCGTGATGCACGGCAATCTCCGAGACCCGCTGGGACACGTCTACCGACAGCTGTCTCTTTTGCCCTTCAATGTCGCTCAGCTCGCCGCTACGCTGATGCAGTGTGCGTTTCAGCCCCTGCAGCTGCAGCTCCTGTGTGTCCACACGCACCAACTCATCCTCCCGCACCCTGCGCAGCTTACGCAACTCCACTGCGCAGCTGTTGCACTCAAGACGCAGCTGCAGCGCCTTGTCGCATGTGCTCTTCTCCTGCTCCCGCATCCTCGCCACCTCCAGGTTCGCCTGTCGCGCCTCCTCCCGCACTCGCTTCACCTGCGTGTCTAACGCACGCTGCTGCGTGCACAGGTCGTCCAGTGTGCTCTGCATCGCCGCAATCTTCTCGTTCAGGCGGTTGCGCTCATCCTCCGTCCGCTCCCCCTTCGTCCGGTTCACCTTGCGCTCCATCTGCTGCACATTGAACTCAACATTGTAGAGGATCTCCTGCTGCGTAAAGGACTCGCGGTCGAGTTGACTGATCTTCGCCTTGAGGTTCCGTCCCTGCGCCTGCCCACCGCTAATCTCCGCAATGAGTTCATCCTGCAGGCGACCGGCCGCCTGAAGTCGCTCACCCGCTCCGAAGTTCTCGCGCTTCAGCTCCTCCACCTCCTTTTCTAGGCGCCGGTCCGTCGCACGCGCCTCCTGCAGCAGTCGCGCAATTGTGGCCCGCTGCTGCTCGAGATCCATCGCCGTGTCAAATTCACCGTGCAGCTGCTTCTTTGTCTGCGCCCGCTTCTCCACCACGCGGTCGTACGCCGCCGCCCTCTGCGCCACAGCCGCCCGGCTCTCTTCGGCACGAATGCGGCTGTTGTTGCGCTCCCGCACAGCACGCGCCAGCTGCTCACGAAGTGTTTCCACCTCCTCCTCCATCGCCACAACGTGCCCCTCAAGCGACACCAGAACGTCACGGTGCTTCTCCGCGCGCTGCTCACGCTCCTTGATGCCCACCCGCGTCATCGCCTCCTCGTCGCGCGCCGTGTCAAGCTCGGCCGACAGCGCCATCAGCACCGCTCGCCGCTGCCCCAGCCACTCCGCACCTTCCGCGTACCGCATCGCCGCCGAGCGAATCGCCGCGTCGCGCTCGTGAATCGTCCTCACAACAGCCTCCCACTCGTCCAGCAGCGACCCGCGGTCATGGTGCAGCTTGCGATATTCCACCGCGCTGCGATCCAGCTCCAGCTGCACATTGCGTGTCACCATCACCTCCTCCTCCAGCTGGCGCTTGCGGTCACGCAGTTTCGCCTCAAGCCGCTCAACGGCCGTGTTCAGCTGACGTACCCGCACCTCATCATCCTTCGTGTAGCGCGCCACGGCCTCCTCGTCCGCTTCCTTCTGCTTGCGTGCAATGTCCCACTGCTCAAGCTCCTCCTGGTTGAACGTCATTGCTCCCTTCAGCTCGGCCATGCGCAGGTTCTCCTGAAATATGAGGTTCTGCACTGCCTGCAGCCGCTCCTGCACCTCCGCCTGCTGGGCCTGCATATGACTCTGCTCCTGTTTCAACCGGCCACACTCGCGGTCAAGGAGACGGTACATGTGCGTTTCCGAGTCCACCTCGCGCCGCTTGCACTCCACCAGGCTCTGGGTGCTCACAATCTCCCCACGCACATTGCTAAGGTGCTCCTTCATAAATTGTAGCCGCCGCCGCAAATCCTCTACATCACGTAGCTTTTCATCACACAGCTGCTCATGGCGTGAAAGCTGTGCCGTCAGCTCCTTGTTTGTCGCGTTCAGCAGTTCCAGCGGAAGCGCCTCCGCCGTCGCGTCAATAACATCTAAGTTCATAACGACTCTGAATGAAGAAAAAGTGCATAGAAAAAATAAAAATAAAAATCCAGGCAAAGCCGCCCCATGAATAAACAAAACAAAAGGCAGACAAATGCAGACAAATAAAAAAAAAAGCATGGAAAACTAGACGGAACATCATGTGTGTGGTCTACTTGGATACTCATGCGGGACACATCTTAACAAAATAAAGAACACCAAAAAAAAAAAAAAGTTAGTAAATTTTTAAACGGAGACCGTAACTGCCGCACAGTCCGCAGTACATCCTCGATTCTGTCTGCTTGGCTCAAGTGGCTGTAGAGCGTCGCCTTGGGTGTTGCCCGGAATTGCAAATATGTGCATTCGAATAGGAACAAAAAAAAAAATGGGGTGTGGAAGCATACCTGAAAGCGTTTTAATCGGCTGTTCTCATTCATTAATGTTTCCCAAGCAAATTAAACATCCTCTCGCAAGAGAAAATTAAAGATGAAAGAACGGCGAGAGCATTAACATGCCGGCAGGGTGGTGAAAGCGTTGTGACGAGTCCTTAAGTGATGCGAAGCACCCAATGACCCAACGAGATCCAAAAAAAAAAAAAAAAAAAAAGGAAATTTGCTTTTCTCTCACTCAGAATTACTCATTTGTTTCTGTTTCCCTCCCTTTTGCCGTTCTCTCCTTGGGTGCTTCTTCGGAGTGACAACGCTCTGAAGTTTCTTCTCTCGCTTTGAATGCCTGCTGGCCGCTGCCACCGGGGAGGGGCGTGGTGTTTGTGTGATGCGTACAATTTCCCTCATGCCTTCCACGTCAGTCCACAGCGAAAATGACGAAAAGTTTCAAAGGGCGAAAGTCGCAGTGTCGACTCCTCCGCCCGCTGACCGGAAACAATTCCCGATACAAGCGAAGGTCTTCCCTGATAAAATTTCAGCCACCAGTTAAAACTGCACTCAAATGACGATGATGTGAGAACATTAAACGCATCCGTCGTGCCTCGCGGGGTCCCAGAAAAGGCAAATCCAACAGACGCTCGTGGCGGCGTGGCAAAAGAGTCCGTAAAGCACGCATTCGCGTATATCATCCACGTAGGGACTTGCCATGTTTTAGAGCCCTTATCCCGTTGACGCCTATCTGACGCCAGTTCTGCCGAGATGAGTGTGTACCAACGTGACGCGTAGTGCAGTGAGGGATAATCGTCCTTAAAGCCACGCACAAGACTCGGGTTCCACCTCGGCCCTTGTGTCGCCCAGAAGTAACTGTGAGCGGAACTCCTGTTGTCTTCAGGAGACGCGGCACTATTATGAGCATCGTCGTTCCCCTCAACTTCCTTTGTTTGCCGTAGAGAGAGTGGCTGAACCAAGGCGGACTGATTACGAATATAAAAAAGGGCTCGTTTGAAAAAGGGCAACTCCACCCACCATTCCGTACCCAGCTTGCCAAATACCGTCCATGGTTTACCCACCGAGACGTACTCCACACCCGGCCCAGCTGACCACTGCAATTGGTACCTCGCACTAGGGAACCAGCGATGCAGCA